TGTTTCCAATTTGGTGTGCTTTACAGTGCATAATTGCTACTTGTTCTGGTTTCTGAACTGCTTGCAGTGATTGTAAAATTTCATTCTGATGCTTAATGTTTGATCCTTGAGAGGATCCTCTTTCTTTTCACAGAACTCCATGGACATGCACTACTCCAAAGGCATACTTGGGGTCAGTCCAAATGTTTACTTTCTTCTTTTCACTTTATTCTAGGGCTCGAATTAAAGCAACTAAGTTCTGCTTCTTGGGCGGATGTGGTGCTCGTCAACGCTCTGGCTTCCGTAACTGCGGTGTCTGTTACCGCACATCCAGCGTATCGGAGTCTTCGCTCCATAAAGCTGCTGCCGTCTTCCATAAAGCTGCTGCCATCTGTATACAATTCCCAGTCTGGTCGCTCCAGTGGTACATCCTTCAAATCTTCACGACTGGAATAAACATACTTGATAGTAGCCAAACAATCATGTTCCAGTTGTCCTTCTTCCTGTGTGGAGTTTAAAAACACTGCAGGATTTACCAGGTTAGTTGTTCTTAGAATCACATCATCCCGTTTGGTTAGTACCACTTGGTATTTTATCATCCAGCTTGGGGATAACCAATGACCCCCCTTTTGTTCTAAAACAGTTATTACCATGCGTGGGACGTAGACCGTTATTGTCCTTCCCAAAGTCAATTTGCGAGCTTCCTGTATCAGCAGCACTGTTGCTGCCACCGCTCGCAGGCAACTTGGCCATCCTTTACTCACTGTGTCCAGTTGTTTGAAGTATCCGACAGGTCGTTTCCAACTGCCCATCTTCTGGGTCAACACTCCCAATGCAAGGTGTTGCCTTTCATGGACAAACAACTGAAAGTCCTTAGTCAAGTCTGGAAGTCCTAAAGCAGGTGCTGACATCAATGCATGTTTTAATTCGATAAAAGCTTTTCATCGATCCGGTCCCCACACAAATGGAGAAATCTTTTGGGCTTCATACAAAGGCTTAGCAATCAGCCCGTCAATCACAATCCAAAGGCGACACTACCCGGCCATTCCCAAAGCCCCCCCCCAGCCATTCCCAAGAATGCTCTGAGTTCATGAATATTTTCTGGTTCAGGTATATTGCAAACAGCTTCTTTTCGACTTTTTCCCAATTGTCACTGTCCTTTAGAAATTTCAAAGCCCAGATATATTACAGTCTGGCAAGCTATTTGGGCCTTTTTCCTGGATACCTTGTACACATTTAGTCCCAGAAAGTTCAAAAGATCTATTGTTACCTGGATACAAGTTGACTTCTCCTCTGTAGCAATCAGTATATCATCCACATATTGTAGCAGTAGATGTCCAGGCCTTGGTTTCTTTTGTTTCCATATCTCAAGTTCTCTTGCCGACTGATTTCCAAAGATTGTCGGACTGTTTTTAAATCCTTGGGGTAGCCTTGTCCACGTTAACTGCATCTTTTGTCCAGTCTGTGGATTCTCCCACTCAAAAGCAAACAGTTTTCTATTTTCTTTTTCCAAGGGTATACAAAAGAAAGCATCTTTTAGATCAAGCACTGTAAACCACTGATAGGTCTCTTTTAACGAGGTTAGTAATGTATATGGGTTTGCTACTACTGGGTAAATATCTTTGACTATTTGATTCACTGCTCTTAAATCCTGTACCAGCCGGTATTCTCCGGACGGTTTTCTGACTGGTAAGATAGGAGTATTGTATTCAGATTCACATTCCTCTAAAATCTTATACTTCAAGAACTTGTCAATTAATTTCTTCAATTCTTGTCTGATTTCTGGTTTAATTGGATATTGTTTCAATTTAACTGGTTTTGCCCCTTCTTTTAATTCTACTTTAACAGGCTCTGCCAGTTTTGATTTGCCAGGGATATCTGTTTCCCATACTGTGGGAATCACAGCAAAATCTACATCCGAAGGAATTTCTTGTCCTTTGGTTGTTTCCTGAATCATCAGAATTTCACCTGGTTTTGATTCCGGTATTTTTAAGAGAATCTCTCCTTCTTCAAAACTGATCTGAGCATTTAATTTAGATAATAAATCTCTTCCTAATAAGGGTACTGGACATTCAGGTACATACG